CCAGGATCAGAAAACAAGGTTTCTTTATGTCGCTTCACTGTGCTAAGACCTTTGATTCTTAGGCACAATCTCCAGAATACTGGTATTTTCCCTGCACGGTCATATTACATTGCAGAAATGGTATTTAGAAGAAAAGCCAAAGGTCTAAGTCTCAGGTAAGAGCTGTAGGAATTGGCCCATAACGCAGCAGCTAATTATGTTGTTATTCAAAAGAACAAAACTTATGACCAACTGGAAGCTGCTATTTGCAGAAGATCAATACGGATGGTATGGGATGTGGGTTGTCAAATAAATGTGGATGTAATTTACACCAGGATGGTGGACTATCCATGACTAGAGACAGATCAGAATTATCTAGTGTCATTTTAAAATTCTCTCTTGTCTCTCTGTCACCGTTTAAGGCATAGCATGAATAAACACAGGGTGTAATGAAAGGGAGCTTCATCCCAGCACCAAGCTGTAGTAGAATTAGGATCTTTCCCACTGATTTCAGTTTAATTTTTGTCTGCTTATACAGGATACTAATTTGAGTTTTCAGTTGATTCCATAGCTTGCAGGGATTCCACACAACACCAGTAGAGAATTTGCAATACTCATCAAAGAGCAAATAAAAATGGGGATGGACACAGACAGGATTGAAATGGGGTTTTGTAGACATGATGTTACGTGTTAAATGGTGAACTGAAGACCAACTTCCCAGTTAATCCATGCTTCAGTGTTTTAAGTGTTTCTGTGGTGGCCTAACAAGTAGTCTCCTAATTTCAGGCACCACCAAGCTTAGCTGAAGTTCTGGCTTGGACAAGGAAGCATCTTTTCCAACTCATTTGTGACTAAATGGTTGGAGGCCATCTAGGGTGCAGTGATCATGATATGATTGAGTCTTCGATCCTTGGTGAAACAAAGAGAGGAGTTAGTAAAACTGGCACCTTAGACTTCCGCAGGGCTAACTTTGACCTGTTCAAAAGACTGATTAACAAAATCCCTTGGGAGTTTGCCTTGAAGGAAATGGGAGTCCAGGAAGGCTGGACATACTTCAAGAGAGAAATCTTAAAAGCACAGGAGCAGGCTGTTACCGTGTGCCGAAAAACAAGCAGGCGGGGAAGGAGACCGGCCTGGCTAAACAGGGACCTTTGGCTGGATCTCAAGAACAAAAGGAGAATCTATTGCCTTTGGAAGAGGGGTCAGGTCTTTCATGAAGACTGTAACGATGTAGTGAAGTTATGCAGGGAGAACATTAGGAGAGCCAAAGCTCAGCTAGAGCTCAACTTGGCCACAGTTGTTAAGGATAATAAAAAATGTTTCTATTAATTCGTTAACAGCAAAAGGAGGATTAGGGAAAATCTCCCTCCTGTGTTGGATACAGAGGGAAACAGTAACAAAGGATGAGGGAAAGACTGAGGTGCTCAACGCCTGCTTTGCCTCCGTCTTTAGCAGTGGAACTGGCTGTTCCCTGGACACCAGCCTCGTGAGCTGGGAGATGGGGAGGGGAAGCAGACTGAGGTCAGCACAGTTGAAGAGGACGTGGTCAGAGACCTGCTGCACCACTCGGATGCACACAGGTCTGTGGGACTGGATGGATTACACCCAAGGGTGCTGAAAGAGATGGCAGATGTGCTCGCCAAGCCACTGTCCATGATTTAACTGAAATCATGGCTAAATGGGGAGATTCCATTGGACTGGAGGGTGGCAAATGTGACACCCATCTACAAGAGAGGCAAAAAGGATAATACAGGAAAAAATAGACCTGTCAGTCTGACCTTGATGCCAGGGAAGGTCATGGAGCAGGTCATCTCGAGTGCCATTAAAAGTCATATAATGGACAACCAGGGGATCAGGTCCAGTCAATGTGAGTTTATGAAAGGCAGGTCCTGCCTGACAAACCTGATCTCCTTCTACGACAGGGCAACCCACTTATTGGATGAGGGAAAGGCTGTGGATGTAGATTACCCTGATTTTAGCAAGGCCTTTCACACAGTTTCCCACAGCATTCTACTGGCAACACTGGCTGCTCGTGGCTTGGATGGGCACACGCTTCCCTGCATAAAAAACTGTCTGGATGGCCGGGCCCAAAGAGTTGTAGTGAACGGAGTTAAATCCACTTGGCAGCCAGTCACGAGTGGTGTCCCCCAGGGCTGGGTTTTGGGGCCACTCCTGTTTAACATCTTTATTGATGATCTAGACGAGGGGATCGAGTGCACCCTCAGTCCGTTTGCAGATGACCCCAAGTTGGGCGGGAGTGTTGATCTGCTCGAGGGTAGGGAGGCTCTGCAGAGAGACCTGGACAGGCTGGAGCCATGGGCTGAGCCCAACTGGAGGAGTTTCCATAAGGCCAAATGCCGGGGGCTGCCCTTGGGCCACAACAACCCCCAGCAGCACTACAGGCTTGGGGAGGAGTAGCTGGAGAGCTGCCAGTCAGAGAGGGACATGGGGGGGCTGATTGACAGCCGGCTGAACAGGAGCCAGCAGTGTGCCCAGGGGGCCAAGAAGGCCAATGGCATCCTGGCTTGTGTCAGCAGTAGCGTGGCCAGCAGGGACAGGGAAGGGATCTGACCCCTGGACTCGGCACTGGTGAGGCCGCCCCTCGATTCCTGTGTTCAGTTTTGGGCCCCTCACTACAAAAAGGACATTGAATGACTTGAGCGTGTCCAGAGAAGGGCAATGAAGCTGGTGTAGGGTCTGGAGCACAGGTCGTACGGGGAGCGGCTGAGGGAACTGGGGGTGTTTAGTCTGGAGAAGAGGAGGCTGAGGGGAGACCTCATCGCCCTCTACAGCTCCCTGAAAGGAGGTTGCAGAGGGATGGGGATGAGCCTCTTTAACCGAGTAACAAGTGATAGGACAAGAGGGAATGGCCTTAAGTTGCACCAGAGAAGGTTTAGACTGGATATTAGGAAGTATTTCTTTCCAGAAGGGGTTGTTACGTGTTGGAATGGGCTGCCCAGGGAGGTGGTGGAGTCCCCATCCCTGGAGGTGTTTAAGAGTCAGTTAACACAGCACTGAGGGATCTGGTGTAGTTGGGAACTGTCAGTGTTAGGTTAATGGTTAGACTGGATGATCTTCAAGGTCTTTTCCAACCTAGATGATTCTGTGATTCTGTAAACAATCCTTGACACACCAAAAGGATTAAGTTCCTGAAAAGAACAACTCTGCTTTGGTGATGGACTGCCCAGAGAAAGCCATGCAACCTTTATATCCTCAGTAAAAAAAGTGGCTTAAGAATTTATTACAATTTTTGATACATCAGATATGTTACTAATAATACTTTAAAATACGTAACAAAGAAAGAAAATGCTCTTTACTAGCTATAAAGATATTGGTTGATGGTTAGCACAGATCAGCCTCTTTCAGGGGAGTTAGAAGATTGCTCCCATCCCACCTGTCTTCTTGAATTAATTAACATTAAAATTATAGTTTTACAAGACAAGGCATGCTAGATAAAATTCTGATTTGCTTGAAAACACTGCACATTTGTCCATTACTTTCAATGAGGGCTGAATTTTACCTAATATTTCTAACAGACTTTTATAAAATAGTGTCAAAAAAGATCTCAGGGGCCATCCTATTTCTTGTCCTGCTGCATCTGTGTCAGTCCTCATGAATGTTTGTCTAACTGGTCCTGAAAGAGCTGCAACACTTGATAGCACCTTGGGCTCTGCTTCCATTTTCACTTGTCCTGAGATATTAAAAGAAAAAGGACTTTTATTACCTAATCTAGGAGGACTTTTGACTGGTTTAAAGGACCAGCAACAATTTTAACATCTGATGTTTCACAATCTGCTAAGGATACAAACTAATCCTACCCACCCCCAGGGAGCTTTCCCATGATTTATCAACATTTTTCCCTTTTATCTTTTCTTCATGAGATTTCTGACATGAAATCCTGTTGTTCTGATTCCCATCATTTCAGTTCTGGTCTAATTTCAGTGGCTGCCCCATACAAACTGATAGTTAAAACTAATGCTTTTCTTTATCTGAAGGCCTGTCAGTCTTCCTGTGGTGCAGTTTAAAGTGCATAATTCTAATTCTAGGAGTGAAATGCCAACTACCATAATTATGTTGGCAACATGGAAAGGCAGGGAGGCAACAGAGCAGTAATGACCAGGCAGGACAGGAGATGTAGAGAGGAGGAAAAGGAGGACGGGTGGGCAAAAGAAGAAATAATTAAGTCTGGTCCTTGCAGAAGAGCACCTCTACGGTTTGCTTATGCTTCCAGAATGAAACACCACTGGTCATTAGCTTCCCTTTGCCTGCAATCCAGTGCTCACAGAATCAAAGTGGGGTCTTTGGTTTCAAGAAGGCCTGAACTGCACTCAGAAATAGTAAAACACAGCTCCTCATTGACAGGCAATTTGAAATACACTGCTTGCATCCCCTGCAACTACAGGAAACCTGTCCCACAGCTGCCTAAAATATACTTATGGTTTAGAAAGGGAAACACAGACATAAAGATTGACATTTACAGCTGGTATTTTTGAAAGTAAAGGTCTGAGGCAGATGGTCATACATAGCAGTCAGAGAACGAGAGGTGGACTTCCCATGCATTCTCTCTCATTCCAAGTTACACCATGCATTAAGCTTTCACAGTAAATATATATTTTTCAAAAACTTGCTACACAGAATCCAATAGCAAATAGCACAATTTATTCTTGCTAAAGCATGTGAGTAAAGACTTTGTACTTGGAGTCTGCTCTTAACCCTTACTGAGGGTTTTATTCCCCAAATACAAACACTTAACAATCTCTACCGGTGAAAGACAAGGCAAACAGTCTTTTCAACCAAGCCATAAAATATCTAATTTCAAATATAATCACAGAACCTCCTGACATTAAAGTATCCCAGCTCTGCACATGGGGCAAAACTGATGAATACTATGAGAGACTAGTAGTGGCCAAATCAGAGTTTCAGGTATGCCTCTTTGCCAGAAGACTCCTCTGCACCATTTTCTGCCACCAAACAGACCATCACTAGGAAGGCGGGAGGAAGGCAGTGGAGAACTGGGGGAAGAATGCTGTACTGCTGGCCAGAGAAACCCTCACATGCTGTCTGCAGGAAAAATAACAGCGGCTGGGATGGAGAGTCTGCGTAGGAACCAGGACTGTTGCTGGCACATACGACCCATGGGGATGCATCTTTAGCATCACCTCTATGTCTGTGGCTTTGAATTTCCTCACAAGTTTGGTAGGCTTCATTGAGAGTTGAAATTCCTGGGGTAGGCAGGAAAGATTTTTCTGCTCAGTGTTGTCTAAAGAACATGTTCCTGAAGGCATTGTTGTAGTTTTTGTTGAAAGCAGTGTAGATGAGTGGATTAAAAAAGGAATTTGAATAGCCTAGCCATAGAAAAATACTCTTCCAAATGGGTGGGATGTCGCACGAGCAGAGGGGGTTGATGAGCTCTGTGATGAAGAAGGGGATCCAGCAGAGCACGAAGACCCCAATAAGGATGCCCACCATGAGGGCAGCTTTCTTTTCCTTCTGCTCTCTCCACGTGTCTCCATCCGTCTGGAACGTAACAGTGGCGTGACGGACAGTGAAGACCATCTGTGGCTGCTGGGCAGCTTCTTTTACCTGCCAAACACAAATACAGGTTGCACCATATGTGCCTCAGTCAGCTGATCCCACACAGCAGGTACCCAACCAAACTATGCAAGTGATGGCCAGAGCTCACGGGGAAACGCAGGCCATCTACGTCACGCTCTAATTGAGGGGAAAGTGGTTGTATGAACCTCTTCTGGGTAACGGAGATGATTTTGAAGTGAGGCTAGAAACTAAAGAGCGTAGTGATATATGGGCACATGGAATTGCTCACACAGGATCTCAGAAAGATTATTTCCCCATTTACAAGCATATCAGTAGCACAAACACACACCCACATGTCATGCACAGAAGTCTCCTTGCTTCCTCTGAACCCATTGAGTTTAAGAGTCCTTGGTAGGAGAGGCAAGAAAATGAGTACACATTTCCTTCCTCCAGCGTGCAGTCACTGTGCCTGCGATGAACTGGCATGATGCAGCCATGATGAGGAAGGATTTACAAGGACGTTCTGCACGTGTGTCTCTTGTGTGGGTAAATTCACAGCCTCCCCAAAGCCACAGCTGCTTGCCAGGTTATCGTCTGCAGCGGAGATGGGATCCCATCCATTCACACCCCCAGACGCCTCCCCCCGGGAGGAACAGTGACCCCTTACTCACACTTGTGAGCACTGATTCAGCATTCCATGGGGGGACGTCTGTGAGTCACCGCACGCCCACGTGGAGCTCAGGCTCACAATCTGGCCCAAAGTTGCTTTAGCTACACCTTGCGTGCTCACAGCTGAGGACTCGGAAGGAGTCAAAACACTGGGCTTGCAAAGCTTTGTAGTCAACTTTCCCTTGAAAGCTGCCGGGATTCACAGGGCTTTGGTGGGATGCTGTATGCCTGCACTCTTTAGCTCTAAGTTTCCCCCACTGCTTCAAGGGCTTGGCTGCTACCAGCAGTTGACGAGAGCAAAATACAACTGAGCTGACCTACCTCCAGGGCTTCCGGTGTAATGGGGGTGATGGAGTTGCTCTTCCGAGATCCAATTCGAAACTTGGCGGCCTTGTAGATCTTCCAGTACACAAAGAGCACCACACAGAGGGGCAGGTAGAAGGCGCCAAAGGTGGAGAAGATGGTGTAGGAAGGCTCCTGGCTGACTTGGCATGCCTCACTGTCCTCTGAGTAAGTCTCTCCCCAGCCAAAGAGCAGCGGGGCCAAGGAGATGAAGGCAGAGAGTGCCCAGGTGAGGGCAATCATGATGTTGGAGATGCGGCGCCGGACGCGGAGCGTGTACTCCAGGTGGCGCGTGATGGACCAGTAGCGGTCGAGGGCGATGGCCGTGACATTCCAGATACTGGCGGTGCAGCACAGTACATCAAAGGAGATCCACACCTGGCAGAGCGACCGGCCCAGGCGCCACCGCCGCCCAGACAACTCGTGCACCAAGCTGAGGGGCATGACAAGGGCGGCCACCATCACATCAGAGATGGCCATGGAGGCCACCAGGTTGTGGGGCACCCGGTGGAAAGTGCGTACCCGGAGGATGGTGGCCAGGACCAGCCCGTTCCAGAGGAACGTGGCCACCACCAGCATGGCCAACAGGGTGAGGACCAGCACGCTGAAGACAGAGAGATGCGCCCGGCCAACATCCAGCCCGGCGGAGGACCCACTCCGGTTGCCGGCGTTGGGCGTCATATCGGCAAAGCAGCTGAGGTTGAGCGGGCGCTCCATGCCGGGGGGCTCCGGGGCACTCGGGCTCCTCCGGGCGAGGTGGCGGTGCTCGGCGCTGCCCACTCCCCGCGTGGGGTGGGGTGGAGTGGGGAACGCCGCCCTACCGCGGGCGCGGAGGGTCCCCGGCCGCCCCC